ACAGTGCCGCCAGTGTACCAGTGTATCAGTGTCACCACTTTCATCAGTGTCGTCAGTGTCAACAGTGTACCAGTGTCACCAGTGTACCAGCGTCGCCAGTGTTACCAGTTTCATCAGTGTCGCCAGTGTCACCAGTGTCGACAGTGCCGCCAGGGTACCAGTGTCACCAGTGTATCAGTGTCACCAGTTTCATCAGTGTCGCCAGTGTCAACAGTGTACCAGTGTCACCAGTGTACCAGTGTCACCAGTGTACCAGTGTCACCAGTGTACCAGTGTCGCCAGTGTCACCAGTTTCACCAGTGTCGCCAGTGTTACTAGTGTACCAGTGTACCAGTATACCAGTGTCACCAGATTACTAGTGTCGGCAGTGTCACCAGTGTCACTAGTATCACCAGTTTCGCCAGTGTTGCCAGTGCGTTTGTGTCAACAGTGTCGCCAGTGTCGACAGTGCCGCCAGTGTCACCAGGGTTACCAGTGTCGCAAGTGTCACCAGTGTCGGCAGTGTCGTTTTACATAGAAAAGCGCCGCATACAAAATCGGCCGATTTTTCAATCCTCTTTACTATGTATAAAATTTTTTTTTGTTGGAAAAAGCGCCACAGGCGAAAATTAATAAAAAATAAAAGTAGGTTTGCATATACATAAATCAGTGGTGCACAGCGTTGGCAGCGTTGTACCTGTATGTGTGTACTCAGCAAATCAGATCCCGCATGTGATGCTTACAGCATGAAGTACAAACGCAAACTGACCGTTCTGCTAGCGGCGCATAAGTTCGGTAGCTGCGCACACACGACTTTTATGTGAAAGCCGAGTAGCTCCCGGAGACTCCCGTGTGCACCACTGATATAAATATATATAATCTCAATTAAAGCTAGTTTGTTAATCACGCTATTTGCATAGGCAAATCTCGATTATTAGCCTTTGAATTTGTTGTGATTGTTATTCTCACAACTAAAGGAAGTTTCTTCTCTGTGCCACAGTGATCACTTTTTTCTGCTGTACATTATAAGCAATTTAAATATATTTTAACCTAATATTTTATTTAAAATACTGTTACAAAACTCGTTTCCTTGCTTTCGTCCATTTTTGTTTACTTTTACATGTAACATTTCTCCTCTTCTTCGCAAATATAATAGATTAAACTAAAACTATGTTCACATATCAATATTTTGTCAATCAAAGCTCATTTTTTAATCACCCCGTTTACACAGGCAAATCTCAGATTATTAGCTGTCAAATTTGTTGTGCTGGTTATTCTCACATCTTAAGGAAAATTTATGTTTCTTCTCTGTGCCACCGTGATCACGTTTCTATGCTATAATAAGCAATATAAATATATTTTAACTTAACATTTTATTAAAAATACCTTTACAAACCTCTTTAACTTGCTAGCGTACATTTTTGTTTACTTTTACATTTGGCATTTCTCCTCTCTTTCGCAAAAACAATCGGTAAAACTAGGATGGACACCGAAAAGTAATCGGTTAAATCTGAGATTATTTTATAATTACAGATTAACAAGGGACGAATTTTATATGGCCAATCTCTTGTTTTAATTACAGATTAGGGTGTTAAGCTCGAAAATGAGGATAATCTACTTATATGTGAACCTAGTATAAGTTGGACACTGAGAAGATATCAGTTTAATATGAGATTATTTTATGACAATAGTTTTGTATGGCTAATCTCTTTTTCTAATTACGTTCGAAAATGAGGTTAATCTACTTATATGTAAACCTATTATTAGGCGACTCAGTTACATATATACACATGTAGGTTAGGTTAGAAATTAAACATAATTTTATTCATTTTGCCGATTTAAATTTGTTTTATTCATTTTCATTTTTAATTCTTTTAATGCATTAATTTATTGGTATGATTACTAAAATATGATACTTTTAAATCTTGTTACTCAAGGGTGTTAAAATATCTTGAAAAAACCACAATTACTGTTTTTGGGCTTGTAGTTTCAGCATTTCTATTTCTATATATACATAAATTTAGTTTTTCTTTTAGGAATATAGTCTGTGGTTCTGCTTCATCTGTCGCTAAATTTACGTTGAATTCATGGATGCAAATAAAATACCATTATTTGTTTGCAAAATAGGAAGCTGAATTAATTTTTTCGGCATTTCCTCTTACTCTCGTCTTCTCTTTGTGCAGCATTGTATTATATCATCCATACATGTATTCATCAGTTCATCATCAACGGACCGAAGTTAAAATGATTTATAGAGTCCGACCGATCAATCGGCATCGGCATCGGCCTTTTTTCGCCGATTCTTTGCCGATTCTTTGGAATTTCTTTTCAAATGTTCAGGTGAAGCGACAGCCAACTTTAAAAAACATTTGCAGACAGCTCACAAAAAATTATTTTTATGGAGAACACTGCCAGCAAAAAAAATTGCCTAAAATTCACGGGATTTTGTAGCAGCTTGAAACTTGCACTTCATTATACTAGAATGAAATGGTCTACAAAACAGCATACCAAAATTCTGATTAAAAAGTTTGAAATTTTGGTGAAAATAAGCAGAATTTTTATAATTTTTGTACAAAGTTTATATGGTGTTTGTTGTATACCAGCTAGACTTTAAAAAAAAAAAATAATAAACATTAAATAAAAAAGACAAAATCGGTCAAAATATCGCAATTCTTTTATTTTGTATTTTATATGTATGTACATACGTACCTAGCATATAAGTTCTTATGCATTGAGTGCAAAAGAGTGTATTTTAGTACAAAACGAAATTAAATTTTATGTTCCTAATAATTTTTTGCTTAGCACCATATAAAAAAGTATTTTATGTAATGTACATAAATGTGATATATGTAAAAATATATTACACATACATATGTTTGTACGTACATACATGTGTATGTAATGTTGCATAACAAGCCAATTAATTCAATTATTTCTTTTCTTTTGTTTTTTTTTAACTCCGTGAAATGTACTGATTTTATGAATTAATACATTTATTTGTAATTTTTTATGGAATCGGCATCGGCATCGGCATTGGCCGATTCTTTCCCCATAAGCCGATTTATCGGCATCGGCATCGGTACCTGAAAAAAAATTTGAATCGGTCGGACTCTAATGATTTATGTATTTTTAAAATTCTCGTCTTGCTTTTTATCAATAGACAGGAAAATTTTCCAATAATGGACCAGGCTTAAAAAAAGGGTGATGAGGGGGTGTAGAGATTTTAAATGTAACGGTCCCCCCCCTCCTCCGGTGGCTTATAGTTTTTAAGTAATTTGTAATTAAAGTTGTAAAAAAGTCAAATTCAACCTCACCTTTCCCTTTGTAGAGCGATTGAACTGAAACTTCGCTGCTGGCACACATCCCAAAAAAAATTTCGAAAATCAAACTGAAAAGGGAAACAATGAAAACGCACGATTTTTTATTAAATACTTTCGCAATTTATCGATGTGTTGATTTAAAAAAAAGGCGGCGCAAGCGAAAATTGCAATATATCGAAGTAGGTATTGATTTTTTGAAAGATAAGCGCCTCAGGCGAAAATTCGTAATAAAAATCGCGCGATTTTCAGCATTTATCAAAGTATTGAATTAAAAAAAGCGCTGCAGGGGAAAATTTGTAATAAAATATTGTGTTACCTTGAAACTTATATACATATTTTATATACTTTATATATCGTAATGCCTCGCGAAGTATTTTTGGGTAAAGTTTTCAACGGTCCGGCATTACATACTTCGTGGCCATTGCTCAACACTTGTGTGTTTACAGATAGTTTATATAAACTTATTTAAAGAACTCTTTTATAAGCATTAATTGTTGAATATTTAGTACAAAAAAGATGTAAATTCATTTGTTTATGAAGAAAAGATGATATATTAATGAAGAAAAAAGTGATTAGTCCAGTGTTTATATAAGGTAATGGGGAAATTTTAACAACAAATAACTTTAAAACTGTTAGCATTTCTACACAAGATGTTGAAGATATAGGTCAATGAGCATTTCCTCAAATGTTCGTTACCTTGGACACAATTCGAGAAACTCTGATTTTATTACTCTAAAATACCAAAAATTTGTTTTTGTGCAATATCATCAAATGTTTTCCGCGCGCCGAGATCCAAAACAAAAGCCTCAACAGCCCACTAAACAGCTGTGAAACTCTAGGGTTGCATTTTACTATCGTATGCTGAGGGTGGGTGTCTTGGCTACAAGAAAAGTGGTTGGACTACAAGCATCAGTATATTGGCTACAGCCGAGGCGTTGCTGACGTTTAGCGGAAACGCGGTAGCGGGTGCCGCATATGATCTGAAATGGCGAATACTCCGCAAAATGTAAAATCTGATGAGATCAGAAAGGATGTATTGAATCCCTTCCAGAAGCGGTCGAAGGAAGCGCATGCTCCCACACGTTCAGCACCACCAGCTATTGAGGCAGTTAGTGCGGCGTCTCTGACTTTCGCCGCACCAAATCAGGGCACAGAGGACGACTGCATTGACGAGAATACTTTCGTTACTCTCGCAAGGCTCATAAATGATCTGAAGGAAGTCATTGGTAGTGGTAAACGCTCTATTAACCAAAACTTCATAGACTTGGTCAACGCGATTGCGGTTTCGTACGATCAAGCAATGGAGCAAATGAACGAAGCTTATATCACCGAAAAGGATACGAGGCAATCTCAGACAACCCAATCCCTGAGGCAGATGGCAAAGATACAATCCACGAAACGCGCCCGGGAGCAAGTCCCTGGGGATACGACATCCCCACAAATCCTCCCCACAAGGCATAAGGAGAACCAAAAAAGTGGCCTCCACGTCAGCGATGGTCTTGTCAAAGCAGCAGCCAGTGAAGGAGAGAAAGCAGCAGATGACAATGGTACATGGACAACAGTAATGAAGAAGAAGCGCCAACAAATAAACCAGCCCGCCCAGATTCCATCGTCGTTAGAAGCACGGGCGAATGTACATACGCGGACATCCTAAAGGCGGTCAAGAGTGAAGATGCCCTGAAAGAGATGAACACAATGGTTCGAAAAGTACGTAAAACTGCAAGCGGGGAACTCCTTTTCCAACTTACTAAATTGTCAGATGGGAATACGGTGAAACTAAAGGCAGCGGTTGGTCAACTGCTTACAGGCAAAGCGGAAGTTAAATCACTTACCCAAGAATCACTGGTAGATATTCGTGACATAGATGAGATAACCGCGAGGAAAGAGGTATGTTTAGCCTTGATCTCCCAGCTCCCTGACTTCGTAGTAAACCCGTCGAACATACGGTCACTACGGAAAGAATATGGCATTATATGCCGCATTCGCGAGAAAATGCAACCCTGACGCTGCTTCAAGTGTCTCCATTTCGGTCACATATCGTGCAATTGCACTGGAGGAAACGACTACAGGAGCATGTGTTTTAATTGCGGGGAAGTAGGTCATATAACGAAGTCATACACTAACGCTCCATGCATACTGTGTGCTAAAAGAGGAACCGGTCGCGCGGACCACTATACTGGGGGCTCCAAATGTCCGGTATATCAGACAGAACTGGATAAATTAAATAAGCCATGAGATTAAAACAACTTATCCTCAAGAACTGCGAAGTCGCACAAGATCTCTTGTTGCAGACAATAGAGGAGTTAAAGGCTGACGTAGCTTTATTAACTGAGCCGTACAAAGCGCAGTCAGGTAACTTGACGCAAGACTCGAACGCATTACCCAATATAGCGGCTTCGTCTGTAGAAAGATAGATGGCATATACATCTACAGCTGCTACATACCACCAAGCACGCCTTTAGCCAAATTCGAAGATCATCGAGAAAATCTTAATGGATGCTAACACCAGACAGCACTTTATTATTGCAGGGGACTTTAATGCCTTGGCGATAGAGTGGGATTCTAAGCGTACTAGCCGAAGGGTAGATCACTGCTTGAAGCATTTGCATTCCTGGATGTGGCCCTGCTAAACACTGGAGAGGAATAAACATTTTATAGAAACGACTACGGGTCAATCATAGATATTACATTCGTCAGCGCAAAGTTGTACACGCTCTCAATCATCGGCGCAATGGAAAACTAACATCTTAGACGTCGACGTTTTCAATTAAACGATGAGACCAATTCAGTATGCAGGATCGGCGAACAAAATGGCCTCCCAGCTAATGGTAGCATTCGAGTAGCTTGCGATGCAGCAATGGTATGGAACTCAACATCGAAGCAACAATGTTCTGTATTTTGGTGTAACGACCACATACAAACTCTGAGAATAGAGTGCATCAAGATAAGAAGGCATTTCCAACGTGCAAGAGGAAGGGCCCAGTTCGCGGAGCACAGAGAGAGGTACAAAGCGGATAGACACGCACTTAAGTTAGCAATAAAAGATAGCAAGCGTCAACGCTTTATTGAGCTTTGCGACGACGCTGAGAAAAATCGATGGGGATCGGCATACAAAATTGCGATGAAAAAACTTCACGTCACAAAGGTAGACACACTTTTTACCGATCAGAGGAAACTGGTTTCCTCTCCTCAAGGGAGCTCTTAAACTCCTTTGATGAGGTCACCAACGAGTTCTCCAAGCTGCAAAAAGACTCGAGGATAATAAGTCTCCCGGCCCAGACGGAACCCCGTTTTTAATTTAGTTTTGAAACTGACGATCAGCAATTTTGTATCGTTGTTCACGAACTTATTTAACGCATGCCTAGCCGAGGGGAAATTCCCAGCAGTCTGGAAGAAGCAAATGCTGGTACTGCCGCCTAAACCCAGTAAACCGCCAAGGGAACCTTCGAGTTACAGACCCATATGTCTGCTCGACTCGGCGGAAAAGTCCTCGAGCGTGTTATGTGCAACCGTCTCTAAAACGAAATCCAAGCTAAAGTAGGTAAATCGAATAACCAGCTTGGCTTCCGAAAAGGGAAATCCACCATTCACGCAGTAAACTTTGTTACCCAGGTGGCATGCGACGCAATAAGTGGCTCGAATATTGCTTAGTAGTGACCCTCGACATTAAAAATGCGTTTAATTTGGCGAACTGGTCAAAAATCGTAGATGCACTGAATCATACCGGGGTACGTTTGTACCTCAGAATGCTCATACGAAGCTACTTCGAAGACCGCTAGCTGCGGTACGAAGTCTCGGCAAGTATTAGAAATAGAAAAATCTTAAGTGGAGTCCCCCAAAGCTCTGTGCTTGGTCCTTTGCTTTGGAACATCACATACGACGGAGTTCTTCGCCTCAAAGTACCCAAGGCGACAGAGGTAATGGTTACTGCGTAACACTTAAGCGAAATTTGCGAGAAATGCAATAAAGCCTTAGAAGCTGTACAATCGTGGCTTAAAAAAATGGCCTTAAGCTTGCGGAGCAGAAAACGGAGGCGTACTTATCTCGAGCATAAAAAAGTTAGAAGAGGTCACCATACAAATTTTCGAACACAGCGTCACTACTCTGCCTCATGTCCATTACTTTGGGATTATGTTAGATAAAAGGTTTTCATTCAAAACCCTCCTTGAAATGTCAATAAAAAAAAGCCTCTACGACAGTATCAGCTTTATCGGGGATAATACTAAACATACGCGGGCCAAATCAGAGTCGACGGCAACTGCTCGCAAGTGGTGTAAAGAGCCAATTGCTGTATGAGGCTCCTGTTTGGCACACCACATCGCAGTACTCTCCGTACCTCCGCGGTGTGAGGTCAACGTACAGATTATGTGCACTTCGAGTATGTTGCGCGTTCAAAACGGTCTCCGACACGCCAGCACTGGTTGTCGCTGGAATGTACCCCATCGATATGCTGACGGAAGAGGCAGTCCAACGTTTTGGGAGCGAAATTGAACCATTCGCGGCAAGCAAGATGCAACAACTCACCAAACCGCCGTTGGGCGTACCGCTGTATCCCGGATTTGAAACGCTGGCTTGATAGAACGCACGGCGAAGTACATTTCTACCTAACCCAGTTCTTAACTGGGCACGGATGCTTGAAAGCGTACCTATACCGGTTCAAACACGAATCGGATCCTTTATGCGACCACTGCGGGGGGATACTATAGAAGGCGTAAACCATGTGTTCTTCGAATGTGTGACGACGCAAGACGGAAAACTCGCCGCGTATTTGGAGGAAATTACTTCTCCGAATCGTTCGTACGTAACATGCTGGAAAGCAATGAAAATTGGAGATTAGCATGCGACGCAATCGCCCAATCTATGAAAAGATTGAGAGATCTTGACAGGCTAAGACATAGCAGCAGCGACTAAGCGCCTTTCGCAAAACTTTCTTCGATAATCATCTACAATACTGTTTTAAAACAAAAAATTGTTTTCTAACTTAACACACAACTTTTGCATTTGAAAACAAACACCCTGTAGTTTTATTTGTACTAAGTATTAAGAAGTGGAGTGTAATGCGATCAAGCATACATGTTGCAACCCTACAAATCACCTTATATGAATTCGCTTAAGGTAATAGATTACAAATATAAATTTACGATATTGATGCAACCCTGTTGTATCGGTGAAAGCAGCTAACTTTAAGTATTTTAGTGAAAATAAAATTAGCGGCATTATTCCGCGTACCCTCAAATCGAACAGTCAAGTCTTGTTTTAATTTTATATTTGGGTAATTGCCGGCAACAGAGCCGGTGGAGCACCAGGGCTCCACATCTTTACCGAGTGAGTGCAGGGGAAAAAACAAATTAATTACAACCTCGACATGGCGACCGTGGGTCCGTCCCATTAAACGGCGGCCACCCACATAACTAAAAGTTAAAACATGGGAAAAATTAAAATACAAAAAAAAAGCGTGAAATGAACTGAACTTAATTTCGAGACCAAAAATCATTACCAACAACTATACGGTGGCGGTTAACTAAATCAAAAACTTTGAAAATTATTACAAAAACACAAAAAAAATCTAAAAAACTACAAAAATACAAAAAAAAGGTTAAAATACAAAAAATAAGAAAACATACATACACGTGCATACAGATGTGGAAAAAACAACGAAAATGAACTTATATTAAAACTAAAAACTTGCAGTGCGCATACATACATAAATGTGCATATAGATGTGTAAAAAAAAAAAAAAAAATGTTGCGGTTATAATTAGCTAAAATTATAAAAAAAAAACACAAAAACAAAAAAACATTCAAAAACCAAAAAAAAGCGGTCGTACCAAATTTAAAAAAAAACTAAACTTTACAAAAGTGGTAGAAAACACATGAGTGGCAAAAGAACAATAAAACCAAAAACAAAAAAACAAAACTATAAGACTGTGACCGTGCTGTACCACCAGTCCTAAGCACGACATAACGGCATCGCATACACGCCAGGCCTTAACGGCAACGCAACTACGCCACGCGGTCCGTGCTGTACCACCAACAANTAACAACAATTATTCAGATTTTGCGAAACAGGTAGAGGAGCTCGCAGATTGCCTGGAGCGTTCGCTTATTATTAAAGGAATGACACAAGCGAAAGCTCACGAGATGGCAGTTGAGCAAANGGCGCGACACGCAGCGGTAAACAGCAACAACAACATATATACATATCGCTGAGCAGGGTGCGATAGCAGCGTAAAGCAAAAACCAACAGCTACAACTAGGACAGCACATCATTACATGGCAACATAACTACATAGCAAGCAATACGAGCAACGGTACGCAGGAAGGTGACTTCGTGGGATCTAATGTATAGTTGCATACAAAATCCAACATCTTTTGCCATAATTTAAATAAATCAAAATTTTTTTTGTTAACATTTATGCCGGGTTTGTCAAATGCCAGATTTTGATACTGCATTTAAAGATTTGCGTACTGATTTTGCAAAAGTTACAAAACGTGTGTCACAAAGTCGTCCTATCTCAACAAAAGAGGGCAAGTTAGAGGAATATAAAGAATCTTTAATAAAAAGTTATAACAACATTTTAGTACTAGTAAATTCGCACTTCAAACAAAGGGTTAAGCCAAAGTCATTAATTGAAAGTTTATCGCGGTGTAGAGAAAAGCTACTTAAGTGTTTTTATAAAATTGGTTGCAAAATAAAAGTACCAGAAGATTTCGACGAATTAATTACAGAAAACGTTTTGTATTCGGACGCAGATTCCGACGAAGAATTTGCTGACGCACGATCAACTGGCACCCTTGAAGTTTATAGTATTAAAAAGAGTCGTTCCTTGTCTTTTCTGGAAGATTTTTTGGGATTCGACGACCCCCCTTACGTAACCACTAGCTCACCAAATATTAACTTCTTTCAAAATACCAACGCAAAAATGGCAACACCTGAGCAAAAGAAATCATTTATGAGTTTATGCGCCTCGATTATAAGGGAAAATTATAGTGGTGACCCGCTATCACTTGCCTCGTTTATTGATAAAATTACCCTTATTGAAGAATTATCAGACGAAAGCCTCACTACAACATTTATTGCATTTTTGAAATCCAAACTTGAAGGTAAAGCTCGCGAGTCCCTACCAACGCAAATAAGCTCAGTTAGTCAAATTAAAGAAGCGCTGTCAAACAAAATAAAACCAGATAACTCGAAAGTTGTCGCTGGTAAAATTGCAGCTTTGAAAGTGCATAACAACAATTATTCAGATTTTGCGAAACAGGTAGAGGAGCTCGCAGATTCCCTGGAGCGTTCGCTTATTATTAAAGGAATGACACAAGCGAAAGCTCACGAGATGGCAGTTGAGCAAACAATAAATGTTTGTAGGTTCAACAGCCATTCAGATATGGTAAAGTCAATACTAGCATCGTCAACCTTCAGCGACTCGAAAGATGTTGTAGCGAAGATGATTGTGGAGCACGACAATATAATAAAAGAGCGGCAGGTGTTGGCTTTTAGGTCACGTCCCATACGGACAAATAATTTTCGAGGAGGTTATAGAGGCAGCAATAACTACAGATATCACAATAACAATTTTAGGTTTAACGGCAATTCAAATAGACACAGCGGCAATACTAGCTATCGAAACAACAATCAGAATAGGAATAATAGTTTCAGTAATAGACGAAATAACTACAATAACAGTAACAACAGTCAGGCTTCAAGCAGTAGAAATAACAATCAAACGCGTTCAAATACACGAAATTCTGCCAATGTTCGGACTTTAAACGCCGAAGCCCCTCAGGCGCGAACACTGGGGGAGCTAGACTTAAACAACTAACGACTTTTACAGACGAAAAATCCATTTACTGCCTAAATCTCAACTATTCCGATTTCATTGAAATAAATTGTAGTGATTCTCACAAACAATGCACTTTTTTAGTAGGCTCTCAAGCAGATATTTCGCTTATAAAATTTTCAAGCCAAACAAGCAAATCCGCAATAAACAGCAATAACATTATTAATATCACGGGCGTAACATCAGAAACGGTCCAAACCTTGGGCACAATAAATACAAATTTGGTAGTATCAGACATTTTCATTCCGCACACTCTTCACGTTGTAAATGACAGCTTTAACATTNCGTTTTGTATTCGGACGCAGATTCCGACGAAGAATTTGCTGACGCACGATCAACTGGCACCCTTGAAGTTTATAGTATTAAAAAGAGTCGTTCCTTGTCTTTTCTGGAAGATTTTTTGGGATTCGACGACCCCCCTTACGTAACCACTAGCTCACCAAATATTAACTTCTTTCAAAATACCAACACAAAAATGGCAACACCTGAGCAAAAGAAATCATTTATGAGTTTATGCGCCTCGATTATAAGGGAAAATTATAGTGGTGACCCGCTATCACTTGCCTCGTTTATTGATAAAATTACCCTTATTGAAGAATTATCAGACGAAAGCCTCACTACAACATTTATTGCATTTTTGAAATCCAAACTTGAAGGTAAAGCTCGCGAGTCCCTACCAACGCAAATAAGCTCAGTTAGTCAAATTAAAGAAGCGCTGTCAAACAAAATAAAACCAGATAACTCGAAAGTTGTCGCTGGTAAAATTGCAGCTTTGAAAGTGCATAACAACAATTATTCAGATTTTGCGAAACAGGTAGAGGAGCTCGCAGATTCCCTGGAGCGTTCGCTTATTATTGAAGGAATGACACAAGCGAAAGCTCACGAGATGGCAGTTGAGCAAACAATAAATGTTTGTAGGCTCAACAGCCGTTCAGATATGGTAAAGTCAATACTAGCATCGTCAACCTTCAGCGACTCGAAAGATGTTGTAGCGAAGATGATTGTGGAGCACGACAATATAATAAAAGAGCGGCAGGTGTTGGCTTTTAGGTCACGTCCCATACGGACAAATAATTTTCGAGGAGGTTATAGAGGCAGCAATAACTACAGATATCACAATAACAATTTTAGGTTTAACGGCAATTCAAATAGACACAGCGGCAATACTAGCTATCGAAACAACAATCAGAATAGGAATAATAGTTTCAGTAATAGACGAAATAACTACAATAATAGTAACAACAGTCAGGCTTCAAGCAGTAGAAATAACAATCAAACGCGTTCAAATACACGAAATTCTGCCAATGTTCGGACTTTAAACGCCGAAGCCCCTCAGGCGCGAACACTGGGGGAGCTAGACTTAAACAACTAACGACTTTTACAGACGAAAAATCCATTTACTGCCTAAATCTCAACTATTCCGATTTCATTGAAATAAATTGTAGTGATTCTCACAAACAATGCACTTTTTTAGTAGACTCTCAAGCAGACATTTCGCTTATAAAATTTTCAAGCCTAACAAGCAAATCCGCAATAAACAGCAATAACATTATTAATATCACGGGCGTAACATCAGAAACGGTCCAAACCTTGGGCACAATAAATACAAATTTGGTAGTATCAGACATTTTCATTCCGCACACTCTTCGCGTTGTAAATGACAGCTTTAACATTCCTTCGGACGGCATATTCGGAAAAGACTTTTTAAAAATAAAGAAATGCATAATTAACTATGCACCGATAGCATAACCATTGGTTTGGGGACAGAAAGGATCAGCGTTTCTATTTTGCACGGTACTACTACCGACAGCTTAGTAATTCCACCTAGATGCGAAGTTTTTCGGTTATTTAAGTTGGGTAAATCCAAAAACCCTGTTTTTGTAGACGCTCAGGAAGTTTGTAGTGGTGTTTTTACAGCGAAATGTATCGTTGACAAGAAAAACCCGATACTGAAACTAATAAACACTACGGACGAAGTAAAATACGTAAGAAATTTCAATATTCAAACCGAAGACANTTTTCGGTTATTTAAGTTGGGTAAATCCAAAAACCCTGTTTTTGTAGACGCTCAGGAAGTTTGTAGTGGTGTTTTTACAGCGAAATGTATCGTTGACACGAAAAACCCGATACTAAAACTAATAAACACTACGGACGAAGTAAAATACGTAAGAAATTTCAATATTCAAACCGAAGACATAACAAACTTCAACGTTTATAAAATTAACGAACCCACATCTGATCCGAAACGCATCGTAGAACTAAAATCGATTTTAGAAAAACAAGTACCCAATTATGCTAAAAATAAATTGCTTGACTTTTGCTCAAGATATTCCGACGTATTTGCCTTAAAATCCGACCTTATGACTCTGAACAACTTTTATGAACAAAAATTGAGACTGACAGACAAAACATCAGTTTACGTAAAAAACTACAGATTGCCATATTCACAGCGCGAAGAAATAAACAAACAAGTCGATAATTTATTGAAAAACAATTTAATAGAGGAAAGCTACTCCAATTATAACAGTCCTCTAATTTTAGTACCGAAAAAAGATCCAACAGGTCAAAAATCGTACCGTATGTGTGTAGACTTTCGAGCAGTAAATAAAAAACTAATTGCAGACAAATTTCCGCTAGCACGTATAGACGGCATTTTAGATAACCTTGGAAGAGCAAAATATTTTTCAACTCTGGATCTGTATTCTGGTTTTCACCAAATCCCGTTACATAAAAATTCTAG